CATGGAGCATTTGCCACAACATCCAAGAGGTAAATCATGGACCGAGAAAATGAATGATTTCCTTGTAAGTTTCGGAAGTTTCAATACGAAAAATTACCGAACATATATGAAAACCGAATATTTGTTCGTTGTTTTCACGATTTACAGGTTCGTATGTTCTTCAATGTTTTGGTCTAAATTATAAAGCATCACCAACAGGTCTTACTCTATTAATCGACTAATACAGCAGACGGCTCATATTTCTACGTAGCATTTCGTTCAGACAAATAGTGGGACTGTAGATCACGCAGTTTCGTTCGTTGCGTACTTCACTCGAAATTGGTAATTTTATATTGGCTACTTCACTTAGCTTGGCGGATGTAGAACATTGCTTAATATTCCTTTTAATTTTCACACCAGACATGCTTGGTTGACACGTCAACAAAGTAAAGTTCAAGGGTCAATGCGTTATTTCGTGATAACTACAACGCCTTCCCGAAAGTCAACATTGATGAAAAATGAAAAAGTCGGAAAAGCATTTACACTAATTTCTATCAAATGCTATGTTTATGCATCATCATCGACGCAACAAAGGTGATATGGTTTCATTAAGATTCGGGTTCTAACCTTTAGAAGGTAAGTCAGACTCCCAAACGTCAGCTAACTCTTATATTTAGCATGTTAGCGACGAAGTCAGGCCTTGCAAAAAGAAGTAACTTAAAGTGAATACTATCTAGCTCAAAATGAATATCGAGCTTAAATTGAATACTATCTAGCTTAAAATCTATCTGTCTAAATGACCAAAATCTATCTGCCTAAATGACCAAAATCTATCTGCCTAAATGACCAGGCCACCCGCTAGGGCACCCACACTTGACCCTAAATATATCTCAACAGGGTGGTGAGTATTAGCACTAGAAAGCCTACTGGTAGACCCGTGGCAGGTCCTGGCTGTTTGAAAGTTGAGGCTAATACTGAAGAAAACATGTGAAGTGTGAATGAAAGTTAAGCTCCCAGCAGGGTTTGATTAGCCTATAGAAAACTGTAAAATGAAATATTTAGCCCTCCATAACAGGGTTATAAAAAATATAAAATCTGAATGTCACACACACGCGGACATTGTCATAATTTGTCCCAAATTATCCTTAACATAGGCTTACCACAGGAATATAAAAACTTAACTGAAAAACATTAAACTGTCACACGCACGTGGGAAAATAACAATATGAAGTACCATTATAAAGGTTTATCCTCCCCTTAATAGCATCCACTACCTAAAATGGTAGTTTATAAAATTATAATCTCATATTACAAAGTAACTGTAAACACCAAACTTTTTATGTGATTTTAATTTTTTTTTTAAACACGAACTACTTTCAAAATATAAAATTCTCTTTCTAGTTCACCTGTACTTAAATTACCACATTTAGATACACCCTAAAAAATATACCGCAAATTACACCGCAAAATCAGAGGGTTGCGATTTTTTGAATGCTGCGCAAAGGGTATCTATGTTTTTTTCCTTCATTATCATCTTCATCTTTGTCACTATTTTTATCTCTCATCTTTGGTGGCAATTCTTTAATGTCTCTCCCATTACACATTTGGTAACAGATTCATCATCAGCTTGTTTTATTGTATAGACGTCATCTTTCTTTGATACTATTTCATAAATTTCTTCTTCATACAAGTCTTGTATTTTGTTCCTTCCACTTATTCGTTTCCTGTTTAATACTTTGCTTCCCATGTTTAGGTCATCTGTCCTTGATTTCTTATCATGAAGATCCTTTCTTCTATCAGCTTCTGTCTCTATTCTTTTCAAGGCTATTTGGTTCGCGTCTTGTAGCTTCTGTTTGTGTTGTTTAATCCAATCCTCATCTTCGTCCGTTTCTCCTTCACTGACATCAAATTGAATGCAGATAGGTAGTCTTGGATGTCTCCCGAACATTAAATAGAACGGTGAGTACCCTGTAGTGCTATGTGGTGTGATGTTGTAGCAGTATGTGAGTTCTCGGATGTATTCTGGCCACTTCCTTTTCTTATCTTGTTCTAAAGTTGTAAGAAGTGAATGTAGTGTTCTGTTGTAAGTTCACACTGTCCATTTCCTTCTGGGTGGTAGGGAGTAGTCCTAGATTTCTTGATGTTGTATGTCTTACACAGACACTTGATTACATTGCTTTCAAAATTACGTCCTTGGTCACTGTGAAAACGTTTTGGTACACCATACACTTGTATAAAGGATTTCAGCAAGACTTTAGCCACTGTTTCTGCCTTTTGATCTTTTGTTGGTTCTGTTACTGTCAATTTGGTAAAAGCATCAGTGATTACTAAGACATTCTCCATGCCATTGGAAGCTTTTTCGAGTAACGTGAAGTCAAGAAACACTAGATCAAAAGGTCTCTTTGCTGTTAATCGTCCTAGAGGTGTCACAATCTTGTGGTATGGTAACTTACCAAAGACACATCTACTACAATTCTTGATCCAATCGATTACATCATTGTGGATTTCTGTCCAGTAGAATCTTTGTCGAATAAGTTTCTCAGTTCTCTCTATTCCTTGTTGTCCAGTATAATCATGTAGACTTTTCAGTACTTCTTCCCTTAGCACTTCTGGCACAACAGCTTGCATTATGGCTCTGTCATTATCATGCGATTTTCTGTAAAGTATGTTGTTGTATATTGAGAGATTCTTCAGCTGTAGCACAAGTTTTCTTTGACTCTTGGTTAACTTCTTTATAACTTTGTTTGTAGGTTTGTACTTTGTCTTTACCATTTCTGTGACTAGTGATATATCTTTGTCTTTCTCTTGTAGTTCTCTAAAACCTTCTTTTGTTATACTTGGTAGAAGTGTTGTTTCAGCTGGTGCGATTTCTGCTTCTATGGACATCACATTCGAACGAGTATGTTTCAGCTCACAAGATAGATCAGGGATTTGTGTTGTTTTTGTTAAATGTCCAATGACACTCATGGCGCTCACTTCAAATTGTTCTTCTTTATCGTCTTCTTCCTCATCTGAGCTATGTTCAAGTCTCGATAAGATGTCTGCTGCAACATTGGTTGAGCCTGGCTTGTATTTGATTTCGAAATTGAAAGAGGCAAGATCTGATACCCAGCGCTGTTCTACTGCAGGCAGTTTCTTTTTGTACATGATGTATGTCAGAGGATTGTTGTCTGTGAAAACAGTAAATGTAGAACCAAGCAGGTTATCTCTGAACTTCTCTGTGATAGCCCACTTCAGTGCTAGTAGTTCAAGTTTCTTTGAAGAATAATTTTTCATGTTCTTTTCTGAACCTCTCAGGGATCTGCTTCCATAACTGATGACTCGGAGTTTACCATTCTGAAGTTGTTGCAATTCAGCGCCCAGTCCCGATGATGATGCATCTGTTTCTAGGGTAAAGGGTTTAGAATAGTCGGCAAATGCGAGTACTGGAGCTGTGGATAACATCTTCTTCAATTCATCTTGAGTTTCCGAGCACTCATTTGTCCACAGTTTTTCTATGTTCTCTGTTTTCTTTTGTGTTCTCTTTGTTACTTTCTGAACTAAGTTATGGAGTGGTTGAGCTATGCTGGCATAACCTTTCACAAATCTTCTATGGTAACCAGCCATCCCTAGAAATTGTCGTAGATCTTTCAATGTTTTTGGTCGTTTCCAGTTAACAATCACCTTTATTTTCTCTGGGTCTGGTTCAATACCTTCTTTGGATATTCTGTAGCCTAGATATGTAACTTTCTTCTTGAAGAAGTCACATTTTCTTAGTTCAAGTTTCAGGTTGTAGTTTTGTAGGATTGAAAATACTTTTTCAAGTCTTTCGATCATTTCGTCTACTGTCGAAGAGAAAACTAGGATGTCATCGAGGTAGACTAGTAGTGACTTGAACATCTCGTCTTTGAAGGCCATAGTCATTAACCGTTGATATGTCGCTGGTGCGTTACAGAGTCCAAATGGCATTCGAAGATATTCAAAAATTCCAAGAGGTGTTGTGAAGCTAGTTTTGTGTATGTCTTCCTCTGCAACTTTTATCTGGTGGTAAGCGCTCTGGAGGTCGAGGCTGGAGAACCACTCTGCGTTGATCAGTGCATCCATGCTCTCTTGAATCCTTGGAAGGGGAAAAACATCTTTCTTTGTATTGTTGTTCAGGTTTCTGTAGTTGACGCAAAGTCTTAAAGAATTATTTTTCTTCCTCACTATGACTATAGGACTGGCAAAGTTGCTCTCACTTGGTTGTATAATCTTTTTTTGGACTAAAGTGTCTATATGTTCTTTCAGTTCTTGGAATATGGCTGGCGGTATTCTTCGATATGGTTCATTTACAACAAATCCTTCAGGAGTTGGTATTTTATGGACTATTGCATCTGTGTATCCTAGGTCATTCTCATCGGATCCAAATATGTTGTGATATTTCTTGAAAAGTTCTGCTGTCTTATTATACTCCACTTCATTTCCTGGGAAATCTTTCAAAATTTTTTCAATTTGATCATTTACATGTTGTGGTACTGTAGTTGTAGTCGGAGTAGATTGTGCATCTTCCATCTTGTTATGTTCAATTGTATTTGTGAGTTCAACTGTACATGTATTCATACTACATGTGACCCTGCAGCAGCTAACTGAGGCTGGTTGAACTGTTCCAACAGGAGTTCTCACAGGCAGGAAAACATTAACTTCAGATGGATTCATAATCTTGATCATTGAACAGCCTGATTTTGCGTCAATGTAGCCTGAGATAAGTACAATGTAGGACGTTCCCTGGTAATGTAGATTCCAATGGTTCAACTATTCCTTGTCCTCGGAAACTTCCAGTGTAGACAGGTTCATTAAGTGCTGTAGATGGTGGAATAAGAGACTTTTCTTTCACTCTAATTAAGTGTGTTTTCTGGACTTCTTTATCTATGTTGTCATCTGGTTCCAGATATTTCAATATGTTCATTCCTATCAAGATTTCTGGGTAGGCTCCTGACTCTGAGTGTACTAAGATTCCGCAGTCTTTTATTAAGACATCTTTGATTGTTATATCTTCAATTAATAGACCCTTATATGGTATCTTGAGATTGTTCGCAGCTTTGAGATCCAGCATTTGAAATTGTTGAAGTTCTTTGTTGAAGTGTTTCTCCTAGAATTCTAATGACATCAGGGTGACACTACTGCCGGAATCCATTACTCCAGTTGTTTGAATTTCTCCTTTTTTTATATTCCATACTGGTGTTTTTCCAACAATCTTTTCCATGTTTGGATGAATAGTTGTATCTGCTGTTACATTTGTTATCACTTCGTTTGATGTGGCTTCTGTATTACTCTGGTTGTCTATGTTTTGGTTACTTTGATTGTTGTTGAATTGGTTGTATCCTCCTCTATTGTAGTTAAATCCTCTAGATCTGCCAGAACCCCTTCTGTTGTTGTACTGACCCCTGTTCTGTCCTCGACCAAATCCATTGTTGAAGTTATTCTGACCCCTAAAGTTGTGGTAGTTTCTTTGGTAGCCATTGTTGTTGAAATTGTTTGAGTTATTTTCAGAGTTGTCATTGTTATTTCGCTTAAGATGGTTGATCTCCTTCTCGATCTTTTCCTGTTTATCCAAAATCTTTTGTAGTGTAATTTGTAGTGATGAGTCATTGTCTCTTGAGCTAACTGCACTTGAAGAAACTTTCCGCTGCTCATTTTCATTCAACTCAAATTTGAAAGCAATTTCTCTCAGTTGGTGAAATGTGATGTTATTGTTCAAATCTGATATTCTCTGAAGTTCCCATCTTAGTTTAGGCTCATAGGCTCCTACTATCAGTTGTTCCTTCAGTAATTTATCTCCTTCTAGGTGTTCATGGCTTTGTTTTACGATGTCCATCAGCTTCATCAACGACTGTGTATACTGTGATATGGTTTCATTGTGGTTTTGTTTCCTTGTGTAGAACTCAGTCATTGATTTGTGTGGTGATTCTACGATACCAAACACTCTCTTCAATGTTCTGTAGATATCCTCAGGTGATGGGTTGTTTGATAAATCATATATTTCACGCCGTGGATTTGGTCCTAAGTGGTAGATTATATAGTCAATCTTTTCATCATTCTTGTTGATACTCTTTGTTGCTATTTTTGCATCTTCACACCAGTCGTAGACATCTTCGTCAGTCTTTCCAAAGAACTTCTGAAGTTTAGGTTTGTTGTAAACAAGTTTCGTTTCAGTTGAGTTAATCTGACTTGTTTCCTGATGTTCCTTAGTCATGGTATTAAGAACTGTTGTGTCAAGATTCATGTTGTATTTTTTCTGCAGCGATGTAAGTTCTCTTTCAAGTTTTATCATTCTCAGCTTTTCTTGTACTTCAACTTTTTCTTCATCCTCTAGTTCCTTGGCTAAGTCATCAATCATCGCTTTCCTGATATCCTTTGGTTTGACATCCCCTGGGTTAGTCTCCTGTCCCAAGACAAATTTTTCATCCGGTGATTCAAGTGGCGGCACATCTTTTTCAGCCATTGTTTTTCATATAAAATGAAAACGCACACGCAGCGATATGATAAAATACTCTGATTTCGCGTTGTATGTACAAAACTTGCGGAAAATTACACGAAAATGTTTAAAATATATCACCAATAAAATACACCCTGTTGAGAATATGTATAATTGTCCGGGGTACTAGTCTAATATGACCTTATAAACTTGTAGTACTAGGACATGCACTATACTATGTCCAGTCTACTATTAATACAAAATTGTTACGTTTGAACATAACTTGTGTCTGGGCTACTATATAGAACATACGGTTAAGGTCAGGGTGCATGATGGGAAATTTTCTGCATTCCTCAATTGAGTCACATGTTATTTTTCAAACAAGAATCACTCCTTCCCTTCATTGTCTATATCTTCCAGTTTTGCACAAAAAGTGCACTTATATGCCTAGAAAAGACTTGTGAGAAGAATGTTTTGATAAAGTGTATAAAAAACAAGAAAATTCAGTGAAAAAAATCAGAAGATTTTCAGAAATTTTTTCACTGAATTTTCTCATTTTTTATACATTTTACAAAACAAACCTTCTCACAAGGCTTTTCTAGGCACAGAAGTGCACTCTTTGTGCAAACTTGGAAGATGTAGACAATGTTGGGAAGGAGTTATTCATGTTTGAAAAATAACATGTGACTCAATAGACTAGATGCGAGTAGAAATGATCTTTATTTACATCATTAAATATTCAAAATTCAGTCGAAGTGATGTCATATTTGAAATCTACATGTAAAAATACATCTAAAAATATGGTTTCGAAAATTGTTTATCAATTTTGAAAATTTAATATTTTTTGAAAATGTGATTTCTAGTTCGGGTTGATTCCCCATAGACCCCATATTACAAAATCACAAAAAGTGAAATATCTTTTCTTGTTTTGGACATATAACATTTTCTTTTACTGGACATACTTAAATTTGCATAACTATTCGATACACAAGGGATATATGAAAATTGAACCACTAAAACCTATGTAATTTAAGTTAAAGGGAACTTTCTACTATACCCGCCATGCTATCTGACCCGAGCGAGCCACCTGGTGGTGAAACTGGTAACTACCTACTCGCATTTGCGTTATTGAGGAATGCAGAAAATTTCCCAACATGCACCCTGTCCTTAAGTGGAGGTGCCACATACTGATGTAAAGTTGTCAAACTTAAATTGGACTCTTTTATGCACCAAATATCAAGATATACACACTTGAAATGTAGACAATAGATAATGACTGGGTAAGTTGTGTGTTAAATGGAATACACAAAAAGTAATTTATAAAAGTCAACATGTATATTCAGAAACCAATGTCCTGGATACTATTTGGCAAGCTGGACTTTTATTTACTCACACCAAATACTACTAGTGTCCTAATTCACACTACCCTACCTCGATCGCGCATGCGCGAATCTTTTGGCTTTCAACCAGGTCGCTTTTGAGTATATCGACTGCTTAGTCAAAAGGTTAATACGTTTGGTGCTCGGAGTGAGTCAATATTGCTATTCGCTACACTTCAGTGGTGCAATAGTGAAGTCCATGTTCCAAGTTATATGATAGTTGAAGAAAGAATGTAAATGATATCGTTTTAGATTTTAAAATATTTGATGTGTCATAGTACACGGTACACAGTTGCAAAAGTTGATCAATACAGGGTACAAGGAATGTAAATTGTTCAATAATACAGGGAGCGAGAAAGTAAGCTGATTATACAGACATACTATGTCCCGACCTAATGTACATTTACGTTGCAAACAGTGAAAGTAATGCTAAAAAGGCCGCCTGTTGATGCTTTGAGGTGTCATCAATTGTTATTTAATCCAAATAAAGTAAACATTATTTTGTAGATTTAGTCATTAAATTAACAAGAACGCTAGATTATACGTGTTACTAAGGTATCAAATTGAAATAAAATAACGAAATTAAATATTAACACGTTAATGATAAATGACTATCCGCTCTCAGTATTAATGACTATCTGCTACTCAGAATAATTAAAATTGCCTGAACTACATGTGAAGAATCTTTCTATAGAACCCCTTGAATGGTCTAATTCACTACCGTCCTCAAAAACTGATCATTCAAAATGTTTTATTCAAATTCACAAAAATACAGTTAACTAACATACTAGAAAACGTATCCACCTATAACACGATGACACGCAGTTTAAATAACAGTTAACTGTTTTTTTTATTACATATCAATGTAACATTTTCGAAGGGAAACTTGCATGCTCCCTGTACGTTGATAGATTTACTGAAATGTATCGTGTATTGCATTCGTGTTTTGCTTCACTGCGCCCACTATTATCTATCTTTGCCTATAGTGTTTTTTTGCCAACAATATTCTACACACTGCTTGATGAATCAATTCTATGTCTGGTAGAACACTAGAAATAAATGTAAAATGTATTTTACGTTCAGAAATGTGGAATTAAACCCACGTCCTCTATTTGCAACTAAGCTGTACCCTGTTTCCCTTTTAAACGTGGTCACGTGGTAGGGTAGTGTGTAATTGACCTTGCTAGAAATTATGTAGCTCAGTTTTATGCATGGCTTCACAGTCCAAACTTTTATCAAAGTCCATGAAGTATAATCAGCTGATTCAAATGTAGCTATTCACACTGGCATGTAGCGGCCCTGATATCGATAAATTCTACACGCAATATAACCCGATTTTACACGAAAAAGCCTCGATATCCGGGCATTTACTCTTACACTGAACTGAAAATAGCATCGTCTAAACGTATATGTGTTGGCTTCCGGGTAAGTTTATCAACATTTATACTCAATTGAAAGAGCAGTCGTGCTGATATCGTGTACCAGTTTGATTAATTTATATGTGTGTGTATTTATAATATGATAGCCTAGTAATACCGTGTCGTTAGAACAACTGCTAGATATCGAACTGATGACCTGAAATTACATTATTGGACTGATCACGCATCTGATATTAAATGATTAATTTGCATTGAATCTGATATTAACTTGCAACCAAATACCATGACTTTACATTTGAATGATAACACGGCCTCATATTCTAATTCATTATACGTCCATTGCAGGCCAAAAATGTTTCAATGTGGATATTGTAATGCACACGAGAATACATTCGATTCGTATATTGATCATCCATCAATTGAACATGGAGATTTTCCTGTACTCTTTTCCCAAACCTGTGGAATAGACCAGATGCGAGTAGAAATTATCTTGATTTATCCTATGCCAAGTAGGGTTTTAGGGAGATAAGTTGGTAAGATATATCCCGTATCCTGATTTTGAGGTTTCCATATCAAGAACCTCCATATCTCCCGCCATATCTCCCGCTTCGGTGCATACTAGTATCTTCCCACTTCGGGGCATATCTTCCCGCTTCCAAAAAGTGGAAATGCAATAAAATGACTTTGCATATGAATGATTTGTTTATTTTTTACACCTTGTACTACTGAAAACTCTACTTGGTATAGGATAAAGCAGTTATGTACGGTCGGTTTGGATATTGGGTTCATCCCTCGTGAGATATGCACATCTACTTTCGGTCTCTACGGTCCCTCAGGTAGATATGATATCTCCCTCTGGATAAACCCAATATCCAAAACCTCCCAGTACATAACCCTTATTTATCCCGTGGTTACAAGGATATAGATCGAATATCACGTGATATAATTGATACGTGGATGAAGATATCATATTTTAGCAAACAATTCCCAAATCATCGAATATCACTTTTGAAACCATCGAATATCACTTTTTGAAAGGTGATATTCGATGGTTTCAAAAGTGATATTCGATGGTTTTGATTTTTTCAATTTTTTTATTAATTCAGCAAAACGATTGTTTACATATTTTTTATTTTTTTCATTGGATCTTGTTTTTACGGCGTTCGCATTAAATACGAACCACTCTGTTACGTCACGTATATGACGTTCGTTGAATTATCGCAATCAAAATGTTAGACGAAATGGAATTTCCATTGCAATTTATCTGACTATTCAATGTTCGCTGGATAATAATTCCCAATGGGACAATCCTATGGTTTTTCAAAAATATCACTTATATCCACTCATGGATATCAGTATCTTCACTCACTCGCTGCGCTCACTCGCGAAGATATCAATATCCACTCATGGATATAAGTGATATTTTTTCAAAGCCATTTCAAAGTGATATTCGATCTATATCCTGGCAACCATGGGATAAAGCTTTACGTCCCGCTCCGAGCGGGCAGATATAGTATATCTGCCCGCTACGTCATAATCGCCGCTCGCATATTTGTTCATAATTTGTATAACGTTCGCGGAATGACTGTAAACGGCAATGGAGAAAACACAGACAATCGTGGTCTGTTTGATGGTTAAAAAAGGGAAGGAGCATCCACTTTAAGTCGAGCCTCTCTCCGAAACGCAATCTTAGGGATCCCTGGTAATATTTTGTGCTTTAATGAGAAAATATACAATAATGAACAAATGGAGCAAATATTGTGAAGAAATACTCACGATAAAGATGTTAGTCTGACGATTGTTCATTCAATTGCTCATTCGGTTCGCCGGTAAACACATTTTTTTGAAGATTTCTAAATTTAGAATGTCACGTGACTTACTAAAAAGAAGTTTGAATAAATCCCCTTTAATTACGCTCATACGTAACCATTGCCCGGGTGGCTCAGTGGCAGAGTGCTCGCCTCTCACTTTGACGGTTCGGGTTCGAATTCCGGCTTCGTCTTATTTATTGTTTTAAGTTAATGGTTATGCTTTGATTTTACGCTTAAAAAACGTTTATATCTACGTCAAATTTATATTTAAGCATTTATTATCTGTTCAGTCGTATAAAAATGGAAAAATTATTTATGTTCGTTTTGGAGAGAGGTATAGGTTTAATCAATAAAAAATTCGAGAAAATAAATATGGGCGGAATATTTGAGAGAACATGAAAATCCGCCCACGGCCAAGAAAACAAAACTGGACATGAATATTCTAAAATATTTCCACGATTTAATAATGTGAACCAGATGACCAAGATTGGTATGGGATGAACATATTATCCTATAGTCGGTTCAGGATATTGGGATTATCCCTTGGCCAATAAGGGATAATTGGTCCCTTCGGTCCGAGGGACCGAAGGGACCAAGGGAAGATATATTATATATCCCTCGGGATATTCCCTGTATCCAAAACCTCCCAGTGCATAACTGTTGTATATAGTTTAGCATGATATGTACTTCTTTCTGTAACTGGAATACGATTCTAAATATACATATGTTTCAAATTTTTTGCTTTTGTCTTTGGAGGCTAAAGATAGATTAAAGTAAGTGTTAATTCTGACTTATCTGCTT